GCACCCTATGTACATTTTCATTGCCTTTTATTGCTAGATCTTAAGGGAAGAATTTAAAAAATCAAGCAGAAGGCTTTGTTGTCACCAGTGTCTTTTTTTTTTTTTTTGCTTTTTGAGACAGGACCTCCCTGGGTAGCCCAGGCTGGCTTCAAACTTGCAGCAATTCTCCTGTCTCAGCCTCCTGAGTGCTGAGATGACAGGCGTGCACCACTGTACCCAGGTGAGCACAGCAGACTCGGCCTAGAGGAGCTCCCCCCCCACCCCCGACCCTTGCTGCTGGGAGACAGGTGTCAGCTGGGATGTCACACCGTCCCCAGCTGACTCCGACAGTGGCTTCTGTCCCTCTCCACTGTTGCTGGGATTGGAGGGCTGCTGCAAGTGGCTGACAGAGAGAGAAAAGTCCTCTGAGCGCCTCCTTATGGCCTCCCTGCAAGACCTTCTTCAGGTTTATTAAGCATTTAAGAGGTCGTCACTGTCAAGAGATTACAAAGCTAGATAGCCAGTATAATTTCCAGTGATTTTTATTTATTTTTGTCTTTTTGAGACAAGGTCTCGCTATGCAGCTCAGGCTGGCCTTGAGCTCACTTTGTAGCCCAGGCTGGTTTCGAACTCATAAGGATCCTCCTGTCTCAGCCTCCCAAGTGCTGGGATTACAGGCGTGTGCCACCACACCCGGCATTTCCAGTGATTTTTAACAATATGTTTTAGGCATTAGACTATTAATGAAAAGGACAAAAACCAAATGGGCTGTACATTTTCATTTTTTAATAAACCACATGGCAAAAACACTTTCTTTAATAAACATATAGGAAATTACTATTTGAAAATCGCAAATACAGAACAGATACATACGCTTTGCTCTTACACAGACAAACCCAGGGTCAAACTCTCTCTCAGATCAATCATGTGCAAAATACCTGGTCTGAGGGACGCGGGAGGAACAGTTCCTTGAAACTGGTATGGCTTATCAATGGCACACACTCACGCGGAGACGCGCACGCTTCCCAGACACACAGCGCCTCGCAGGGCTGAGCTGGCACAAGGGGGCGTTTGCATTTTGAGCCGCATTTACTTGCGAATATCCTCCACTGCACTATTCCATCGGCGCGGCCCTAGACTGAGGACAGCGCCACGAACGCTTTAACGAAGCTGGCAGGCGTCTGTCGCGGCTTGCGTGCGATGCCTGTGAGCCGGCACTCGCGGGCCGGCCGCCTGGGTGCACCCAGGGGCTTCACACGGGGACCCAGCTTCCCCCAGCTCGCACGCTGCTGCAGCACCCGGGTGCAACCTGTGAGTCCCATCCGAAGCTGTGCAACGCGCCTGGAGCTCAGGTTTCCCAGGCCGCCCAGCTACAGCGCCAGCGAGCTTCCCCGGGTGCGGGGAGAGCAGACCGGCTCCCTCCAGTGTCACCTCGTGTCCCTGTGCCAGATGACACCAACCCACGGCTACTCCTACCTTGAAGGAGCCACGGTGCCCTTGAACTTCTTACCTACAAGGTGGTTGGAGCAGAACTACCTAAAATCAGACTTCAAAGGCTTCAGATTCTGTTATGAACAGCTAATTGCGATGAGCCGATTAATATGCATGCGTAAGAAGGAAGCGGATTTAGCTAAACTGCTTGTTTCAGTCTCCTTGAGAAGCAAGACCCAGAGCCCGCGGCCAGTGATGGTCCGAGATGGGGGTCATCGGTCCATTTCTACGAAAGAAGCTCCGAGAGCTTCTAGGGACAGATGAGTTGGCTGTCTGTTGTTTTCTGAGACAGAATCCTGCTATGTAGCCCAGGCTGGCCTCAAACTCATGACAATCCTCCTGCCTCAGCCTCCAGAGTGCTGGGATTATAGTCATGTGTCACCACGCCCGGCTCAATTGGTTGTTTTCAAAAAAAGTTCTTCCCCACATGAAAAACATCTCTCTCCATAAGCGGTGCCCTGGCTCTGAAAAAAGCCTTCCCTCCCATGATGCACCATCTGGTCCTGACCTGGCTACTGAAGACACACTCAGTCAGCGGGATGCCGCCACTCAGGAGCTGGCGCCGACTCATAAAGCAGGAAACTTAGTTTTAGGGGATGGGAGCAAAGCACGTAAAGTTGCAAGGGAACCGTGCAATGAGACCCGGTGATCTGGCGCAGGACAGATGGGGCGCACCTGAGCTCCGGGACCTGCGGCAGCGCCCGGGGCAGACGTGGGGACCCACAGCCCTGACCCTGCCGTGAGCCTGCTGGAGCCCCAGTCCACTGCATTCCCCACGGCAGCGGATCCCGAATGGAGCCATCTAAAGGCTGCACCTGGCCAGAGCTGAGAAACGCAGCTTAGCGCACACAGGCAACTATTTGCAAATGTCACTGAGAACAGGTATGTGAGGAGCGGGCCTCTGGTGGTCTGGTGGTGTCTTCCCAGCAGCGGCCCGTGCTTCTCTAGTGGCCCGCTTCTGGGGACAGGGCTGAGATGGGCGAGCAGCAGGCCTCGGGTGGCCGCGGCTCAGGGCGTGCGGCGCTCTGGGCCGGAAGCCGCGCAGCCCGGAGGAACCACTACGTTAGCGCCCGTCTCTGGGTTGTCCCGTCACAGAAAATGAGACCTATGCACTCTCAAGTCTTGCAGATCTGGTAAAGCACAAAGCTGTCATTCGCGCTACAGAAACAGAGCACGGCCAACCTCACGCGCGCCTCCCTTTAGCGCAGCAAGGGTGAACGGCAGCCCTCGATGTTTCTGCACGTTACCAAAGGCTTCTCTTCCACCCTCGAAAGGATGCTGGGTAACTCTAGGCAGCAGGTCAGCAGGGCACGCGGACGCATCCATGCAAGTAAGGAAAGCGCCTGAGCACACGGCAGGTGTCAGCGTGCCTCCGACTGTAACCCACACCGCGGCCCTCACTGCCACTGACCCTCCAGAGCTGAGAACACTGCCTTCTCGTGGTAGAGAGGTCCCTGCTCACGCTACTGCCACCAACGAGGGCGCCTTCGTTTGGAAACGTTCATGCTGCCTCCCTGTAACACAGACGAAACTCTGGTCCCCTCTCGGGGCTCGCACACACACACGCACACGCGCGCACACACGCAGACGTTGAAACCTTTTTGCCTTCTATTTCCTCAGAGCGGGTCTCTTTTCCCAGTCCTCTGAGCTTGGCGGAGTGCGTGGCGGACGCCCAGCCCACAGCACACACCGGAGGCCTGCCTGGAGCAGTATGCGTCCTGCGTGGGAGCCCACTGTGGGTTCGAGGCTGGACTGCAGCCCTCAGGGCCGCCCGGACAGCGCAGACAGGTGAGCCGGGACGCAGGACGGAACCAGGCTGCGAAGCGAACCTCGTGCAGGAGTCGGCAGCTCCTCAAGCGCCGGTCATCACTCACGTTCCGCAGGCTCCCGCCGTCCGCGAGGCCGTTCTACACACAGCGCTCGTGACTCTGGAAAAACGGGAATCTGCAACTCCACGCCCCACTCTCACTGGTTTATTTTGCTTTAAATAACTGCACGGTAATTTGAGTTTAAGATTCATTTCTGCCATTCAGAATTATATCGAAAATATTTCCTAAGTAACTTAATGACAGCGATCAATCACAACAGGTAAAGATTGGGTTCTGATAAGCCTACAAATAATCAAAACGGTCAACTCTGGGATTGGAAACTCAGTACTACCTGGAAGAAGTTGTGTATGAAGTATAACTGACAACAGCATGGAGACTTATTTGTGAAATGAGACTTTTCTGCAACACTGGAGGAGGAGCACATGCGCTACTCTGCAGAGTTACTGGTACTGCCTAAATCGGCTGAGAAAATTTCTGTAAAAAGAGCAGCCACTCAGAAGCTGGATGTCAAGATGACATAATCGTAAAAAACAACTCCGTTCACTAGCACTGGCTTGACAGAAAACGGCCTTTAGAAAGTATTTTTAAATGTAAATACTGGATCCTGACGCTTCCTTTTACACAGGGCCTCTGTCAGCGAACGGGCGCCTTCTGTGAGGTATCTGCAGAGTCGTCTCTCTCTGTAAACGGCGTTCGGGAACGTCTTCATCCGGAAATGGCACAGATGCGAACTGGCGGGCCGGAGAGACTGTTTCGAGACCGGCGCTGGACGCGGCCGCGGCCCCGCGGTCTCCTCAGGGTGCGTTTATTGCTCTCAAGTCTGCGACGCGGGGCGCGTAAGGCAGCGGGCCCGAGCGCAGCGGCTCAGGGGCTGGAGCTCTGGCAGCTCGCGCAAGTCCTGTCCACCTCCTGCCTGTAGCTCTGAAGCTGAATAGTACATTTGTACAGGCCGAACGTGTCCAGCAGCAGGTGCTTCGCTTTCGACTGTACTTCCTCCCACTTGGACGCACTTCCGGGAACTGCAACGGCAAGGACGCAGCGTGACCTCTCCGCACACGGTCACGCGTGTGACTGGCGAGCGGGGCTCGGGAGACCCCCGCGACGCCCGGGAGCGCGTCTCACCCGTCTGCGCCCACCCTCGGGAGCTACTCTGCCGCGAGTCAGTTTAGGCTGAGTCCTATTTCAGCCTCTCCAGCCCCCTCGGGTAGAGAAACATCAGACGTTAACTACAAGCCCGGCATGCAAGGATCGACCTGTGAAATGATTTCAGTAAAAAGCACCGGGGTCTACAAAGGAGCACGGTAAACAGACTTCATGCCTTTCACCTGAAGGCACAGACCAGGTGCAAGGTCCCACCGCAAGGAGATAAGAAATCACTTTCCGGCCCTCAGTCCCAACCCGCAGCTCTCGTTCGGAAACTCGACCTACGGAGCGGCAGCACAGGCCTGGCTGCTCCCCAGGAGCCCCCCGTACCCCAGCCGCGTACTTAGCTGCATGTGAACGATGGCGGTGGACTTGCCCGACGTGAGAGACCAGATATTCAAGTCCTCCACCGAGTACACGTCTTCTATCTTCATCAGCGCATCCTTGATACGGTCCACATTCAGATGGCTCGGGACACCTGCGAGTTCAGAACACGTGGCTTAGAAGTCTACTTTGGAAGAAAAAACATTTTACATTACATTCAAAGAAACTGACGGGCGTGGTGGCACACGCCTGTAATCCCAGCACTCGGGAGGCTGAGGCAGGAGGATGGTTGTGAGTTCAAGACCAGCCTGGGCTACAAAGTGAGCTCAAGGCCAGCCTGAACTGCACAGCGAGACCCTGTCTCAAAAAAGAAAAAAAAAACACCCAAAAACAAACACAAAAATGCATTCAAAGAAACAAATGGCTTTGCCAAATTCAGTTTATACGAATTACTTAAAAAAAAAATTAGTTCTTCAAGGTAAACCAATGCATACATTTTCACAAAAAAACACAGGAAATACATGAGGTTAATATATACTTTAAAATACTCATTCCCTAAAAAGGAATGCTAATCAAACCAAAATAAACTAAGATGGACCAAAACAAAAGACAGAAAAAGTAAAAGAAAGACCCAGAGGGACATCTGAGAGTGCTAACCTCACCGCTGAGAACTTTTACTTCCGCTCTTACCCCGGTATCAGTAAGGCAGGGATAAATGCAACAAAGGCACAAGTTAAACGGGATTTAAGCAATGAAGTTAATCACCTGATAAAGGGTCAACCACTCGCCTGTAATTTCAGGACAAGGGGGGCTGAGGCAAGAGGACTGCGGCCAGCCTGGGCCACACAGTGAGTTCAAGACCACCCTGAATTACACAGTATGAGAGACCCTGCCTCACAAAACCAAAGCTCATGCATATAATCCCAGCACTCAGGAAGCTGAGGCAGGAGAAGCGTTGTCAGTTCAAGACCAGCCTGGGCTACAGAGTGAGCTCAAGGCCGGCCTGAACTGCACATTGAGACCCGTCTCAAAAAGACAAACCCCCACCAAAACCCAAACCAAAGCTCCACCAGAGCCGTTCTCCCGCCGCAGCTCCACCTGGACCAGCGCCTGGCCGCGAGCACACGGGCTGCCCCCTGTATCTCAGCGTCTTCTCTGTGACGGGGACATGCTCCCCCGTGTGCCTACCTCGCCACCTCGGCTTCTGCACGGGGGAAGTGGGTAAGAGACGGGCGAGCGTGTCGCGCAGCGAGTGTCGCTAGTTGCTGAGACGACGCAGCTCTTACCCAGTGCCCTTGCCCCGACACGCAGGGTCGGGCGAGCCCGGGGTGAGGAGAGCTCACCTTCCAGTATGATCACCACTGTGTCCCAGACGATGCGGAATGTGGTGAAGGCCATAAGCAAGGAGAACACGTACGTGCAGATGGGGTCCGCAATCTTGTATTCTGGCTGAAAGGTAACAGATCCAAGCTGTGCGATCCAACAGTGACAGACATGACACAGACCCGAAGGCGAAGCCGGGCGCCCGCACGCCTCCTGCTCTCTGCTCCCCTAACAGGACCGCAGAGCACCGTCACGCCCTGGCCACCGTCCGCGAGGAGCGGCTTCGCTCCGTCTCGGCCCGTTCCCATGCCTCCCCGCACGGGTCTGCTCCCCGAAGCCCGTCTGCCCCTTCTGCCCTGTGCCTTCTCTAAAGCGTCCCCCAGGTGTTTCACGGAACACGGAGCTGGGCGGGCCTCAGCAGCCATCTGGTCTCACCCCACATACCCGAGGGTGGGACTCACGCTCAGAGTCGACGGGCTCAGAATGCTCTGGGCCACAGCATTAATGGAAGAGCCAAGAGGAGACGCCAGCTCCCCACCTGGGGCCTGTCAGGACCCGCGGGTCAGCGACTGGGCTGACTGCCGAGTTCTCCGGGCCAGGCGCTCCCCAGGGCGAGCACAGGTGAGTCTGCTGCGGGGAGACCCCATGAGCCCACCACTCGCGAAGGGCTGTACTGCTGGCTGCGGGGGCTCACGTCAGTGCAAACCAACAGGACCGGACCGGTGTCCAGCTGCAGTCTCCACAATGAAGTTAAATACATGGAAAGCTGCCAAGCTGCTGGGCGTGGTGGTACATGCCTCTAATCCCAGCATTTGGGAGGCTGAGGCAGGAGGACTGCTAGGAGTTTGAGGCCAGCCTAGGCTACACAGTGAGTTCAAGGTCAGCCTGAACTGCATAGCAAGACCTCGTCTCGAAAAACCCAAACCCAAACCAGAACAAAGCCAAAGCCAGCTGCTGAGCAGCGGATTACCTTGAACCGGATGATGTAGGCGGCGATGAGCACGCCCACGCTCTGCACCAGGTCCCCGAGGGCGTGCACGAAGGCGGCCCGCACGGCCAGGCTGTCCTGCACAGGCCTGTGCTCCCCGGGCCCCGCGCCGGGAGAGCTGGTGGGCGGCAGGTGGGAGTGGGAGTGGCGGCCAGACTGGTTCAGCAGGAGCCCCATTCTGTGGAGGAGAGAACAGCGCCACTGCCGCGCCTCAGGGATAAACGTGCTGCTGGTCCGACGCCAGGGAGGCGGCGGGGACGGCTCGCGGACTCACCCAGGGATCTGCGGACCTATACGCCGCAGGCGCTGCTCTAGGTGCAGGGTCAGAAGCGGGCGCGGGCAGCCGCATCCCGACCCCGGAGCCAAGACCCTGATACGAAAGGTGGACAAGCAAACGGAAGCAGGCTGGATACGGCCTCGGGTGGTCAGAAAAAGGGGACCGCTGTGAAGGGGTGGAAGACCCAGCGGCTTTCGAAGGCCCGGGACCCCAGCAGACCTGGGGAGCAGGAAGCAGGCGCAGGGAGCACGCCGCGTGAAGCGGGGCGAGGCGCGGAGGCGGAGGGGAGCGGTACTTGGAACACGCCTTGGCGGGGCCCTGGGAGAGGGCGCGAGTGTGGGAGAGCGGGGGGGACAGCACGGGGTTTCCCTTCGAGGCCGCGCAGGGCTTCTATTTATTCTGAGCCTGAAGCCAGGGCAGGGTGGGAGCCTGAGCAGCACAGCGGCCGCGAGCTGTTTTCCTGGTGAGCAGCTGTCTGGGACGTGTGGCCACTCTCGGCTGTCACCGCAGGGCAGGACAGCTGCAGGACCGAGGGCCGGCTGGCCGAGCCTGAAACCCCTACTGTCCAGACTTCGCAGGAGGCGGCTGCTGACCTCTGGTTTAAATGATCAAGTATATAAGCTGAGATTTGGTAGCTTTTTAAGAAAAGAAACGGCAGTTCAAAAAACCTAGCTAAAACAAAAGTATTCTAAATATTAAACAAATCCTTGCTGGGCGCGGTGGTGCACTCCTGTAATCCCAGCGCTGGATGCTGAGGCAGGAGGATCACCATGAGTTCCAGCCAGGACAGCCTGACCTACATAGTGAGCTCAAGGCCAGGCTGAACTGCATAGTGAGACTGTCTCAAAAACCGCCCAAAATTAACTAAACAAAACATACTTTATCCTATTTAATTCCTTGACTGTTAGTCAAAATGCATTATATCTGAGCAAGCTAAAGAGAAATTTATATGATACACACTTGTAATCCCAGCACTCGGGAGGCTGAGGCAGGAGGATCATTGCAAGTTTGAGGCCAGCTGGGGTTACAAGTCCAGCCTGAGCTACACAGTGAGACCCTGTGTCGAAAAGCAAAGCAAGGGCCAGGGATATAGCTCAGTGGCACAAGCGCCCTCCCGGAAAGCGCAAGGTCCTGAGGTCGATTCCTGATACCCAAAAAAAAAAAAAAAAAAATCAAAATGCAAAACAAAAGAGCAATTTATAATGTCTACTTTTTAAATTAATGTTTAAGAAAATTAATACACATTTTAAAAATAGGAGACCGTAACTTCAGTCTGAACGCACATGTGACGGTCTCGAGGTTCGCAGAACCTGAGGACGCGGATGGGAAACACCTCAGGCTTACATGAGATTCACCGCCACGCCGACGGCTGCAGTGATGATCATGATGTCTCCGTTGATGTCGTAGTTGGTGTGCACGGTCCTCTGCACGGCCTCGTACAGGAGGAAGCCCATCAGGATGTACACCAGCAGCACGCTCACCATGGCCGACAGCACCTCTGGGGGAGGACAGACACACAGCTTCAGCACAGCTGCTACGCCCGCACCAGGGAACAGCATCCTCTGCGGCTTCTCTTTTCCTTGCAAGGCATAGCCTTTTCCGCACGGAAAGTGTATTAGCGACGGAGTGACCTGGATCCTTTACAAACTCTCCTAGCACTCCCCATGCTGCACTGCTCCCTTCGGAGTCACAGTCTCCACCCTCACAAACCAGCACAAGGCAAAGCGTGACACTGGGAAACGAAGTGTCAAACACAGGACCAGACTAATTCCCTAACGTCAAGACAGTGACAGAGGAAACAACCGTAAGAAAAACAGGAAGGGTCCCAATGATGCACCAGAAAAGCAATGTCCAAACTGTCAAAATCAACCACAGTGAAAAGAAAGTGGATTCCTTTTACTTTCTTCCACTAACTTGGCAAATATGTGATAAGCCTGAATTAGCAAGGGTATCCCGATGCAAGTCATAAAAGCTTTTACCCTTTTTGAAACAAATCGAAGTGCAGAAGGCACGTGCTCCTGGGTCAGGACAGCATGGGGCGTCCCAGCAGCAGCACCCCGTGTGCAGGGTCTATGAGAGGTCACCACGGCGCTGGCCACAGCACAGCGTCACCAGACACAATGTTAAGTGTGCCCCGGAGAGAGACCTAGCGAAAGAGTGGTGATGTAACTTAGGGTGGGGTTACCAGACAGCCTTCTGTCCTTTGGAAAAGGAAAAACAAAAATCAGGCAGACAAGTAACAACACAGACAAGGAAGTATGCCATCCAGGGAGTGGAACCAGAACTTGGGGAATTCACCTCTCCTTTCTTGCTGTTAGTTTTTGAAGTGTTTTGATTTTTACCACAAACATATTGCCTTAGATAAAGAAAAGCGTTATTTCTGGGGCAGGCCAGTATGCAGTGTGAGCCAGGCTTTCTCTTCTACAGGTGCCGAGGCCCTGGCTGGTGCGAGGTGGGGTGGGGATGGGGTGCTGGGTGACAGCGAGGGATGGGGCAACGGAGCCCTGGACACAGGGCTGGGCTGGAAGAGCACCGCGGCAAGTCTGATGAGGACCGTAGCGCCTACTCGTAACACACAGGTCCTGTAGGAAAACTGCTGGCCGGGAGGCAGGGATGGCACCACGCTGTACTGTACATGCTTTGGGATGTCCTGAAAATTTTCTCATGTGAATGTAAAACAAAAATAACAACACAACAGGCAATGTGAGCTTGAGCTGTGTCTTAAAATATTATCGCTGGGTGTGATGGCACATGTTGTAATCCCAGCATTTGAGGCTGAGCCAGGAGGCTGCCGCGAGTTTGAGGTCAGTCTGGGCCACACAGGGAGTTCAAGGCCAGCCTGTACTACACAGCAAGACCGTGTCTCAAAAAAAACCCAAAACCCACAAAATTGAAGTATTATTAAGCTTGGCATTGTGGCTCACAGTGGTAGCTGTAAATTCCTGCTACCCCAGAAGCAGAAACAGGAAGATTCTAAATTTGAGGCCAGCTTGGGCAATTTGGCAAAACCCAGTCTCAACATAAAATTTAGAAAAGGGCCGGGGATGTAAGAGTGTTTGCCTAACATGTGCAGGGCACCGTGTTTGGCCCCTACTTCTGGGAAAAACAAACAGTATTATATAAAACAAGTGCTGACACTAAAATAATAACAGTAGGAAAATACCTTTAAATGAAATTTTTTCTAGAGAAATGACGTTAATCCTATTAAGTGTTGTGTTTTAAAATGTTATGTTATTGCTGGGCATGATGGTGCACGCTATAATCCCAGCATTTGAGGCTGAGCCAGGAGGACTGCCACGAGTTTGAGGCCAATCTGGGTTACACAGTGAGTTCAAGGCCAGCCGGCCCTACACAGCAAGACTCTATCTCCAAAAAAAAAAAAAAAAAAGAGAAATTCAAGAACCCAATAGGGCAATGTGAGCTGTGTTTTAAAATATTATTGCTGGGCGTGATGGCGCCTGCTGGAATCCCAGCATCTGTATTATTTTTTCTGTCTTTTCAAGACAGGTTCTGGCTGTGGAGCTCAGGCTGGCATCACATGTGCGCTGACTCCTGCCTCTCCTTCCCCAGCGCCGCCGCACCTGGCAAGAGGCTGAAGTCGCCCGGAACACTGTTATCTATGGTGACGTGCGCATATTTCAAAGGTCCCAGGTGGTTCAAGTATGCTGGACTCTGATACATTTCATTCCAGCTGTAAATTACAAGGAAGAAAAATCACACAGCAGTTGCCTCATGGTAACGTAACCGTACCCAGAAAATCCTGCACAGCCACAGGACAGGTGCAGGAGCAGGACAATGACCACAGCTCCCAGCCGAGACCGTCTCGCCCACCTCTCCCTCACGCACTAACCCTGCTGCTTCCAAAAGGAAAGCACGAGGCAGCAGAGCCCCCGAACACATGGGGTGCGCACAGCCCTCCAGCCGAGCTCAGACTGTAAACTGAGGACACAGGCCACCCACGAGCGGGGGGCCAGCCTGGGCTACAGGAGGCCGTTTCAAAAATCCAAAACAGAAATCAAGAAAAAAACAGTATGACTTGTGCAACACGTTTTACAACACCACCAACAAAAAGCCCAAACCCCTTCCCAAACATCACAACAAAACTGAGCAACGGCGTCACAAACCCAGCGGTTCCCGGGGCCTCCACAGGTCCCCAGTGTTCGCTGTGTACACGTCACCACGCCCCCTCCTGGTCCCCAGGACTTAGGTCACTCACGCTGCAACAGCCTGAGGGGCCCAAAGGACACCGGATCTGTGAGCGCTGTGGTCTCCCGAATGCCCGTCACGTGAGGTTCTCCTTCCGCTACCCTGGGCATCCTGGGAGTGCCACATCCGGTTATCCCACGCTCCAGCGATCCTTTTCCTGAACACTCAAAGTTACCTCTTTGTGAATTCTCACATAAGGCAAAGCCACTTTCACAGTAAAATGACGTCCAAAAGCCGGAACGGAGTTTCCACCTGCCAGGCCAACACGCTACCCCCCTGTGAGCGGCACCAAGGCCCTGGTGCCCACCTCGGTTCCCGGCAACGGGGCTGAGCAGGCCTGGAAATCCCTTTTTAAATTTTTTTTGGGGCCTGGGGATTTAGCTCAGTGGCACAGTGCCTGCCTGGCAAGCACAAGGTCGTGAGTGCGATCCCCAGTACCGGGAAAAAAAAAAAATTTATTTTAAAGATAAAAGAATGAAAACACATTAACAGACATAAACAAAGTAACACCCAAACTATAGAAGCAATACAGAATTTCAGACAAGGTGATAGGAAATTAACCATGGCTGTTGTATTGCATACTGTTATCTTCAAGTTGGCTACTCCGTTCAACAAATACAGGCATGCAGGGCCTGGAAATTCCCGCGGTGGCACCTTAGGCCCTGCTGCCAACCCTCCTCCCCAGCAATGAAGAAGGCAGGCGCCTCCGTCTGGCTCCCTGGGTCACTCTCCCTGTCAGACTGACTTCTATCCAGGGTACTGGCCAACGTAAAAGGGGAAAACGCCCAAAATTTAGATTCTGAGGGCTGACATCTATAATTGAGATACATAAGGCACAGAAGATACGATCTGGCTAAAAAACGCTAATAGCAGTAATATGAGCGTTTACCCTGATACAACAAACAAAAAGCTCTTTCACTATGAGTAAATTAAACTTTGGTGAAATACCAGAAACTGGACTCATTAGTGTTTAAAATTCTCTTTCGTGGTATTTGTGATGTGATGGAATGCAGATGAAGACAGCCCCCCATCTGACAAGAAAGCTTTCCTCCCCCCCACCTGAGAAGAAGCGTTCCAGCACCGCCCCAGGACGACCCTTCCGGTCCTCGGTTCTCTCTTGGGTGTGGCCTTGGTCTCGTTAACTCGGCTTCCACGGCAAATGCAGCGCTCAGCAGATGGGCTCTCAATGCCCTTCTCTAACGAGCGCCCCGGACTTCAGTGACAGTTCCTTCTCCATGAGCTTTAGGCAAACCTGAATGCTTATGCTTCAACCAAATGGAAATTCAAAATGCAGAACGCCTGAGCTTTGTAACGAACAGCTGGAGAAGCCAGCGTCACAGTGCTTTAATGCAGCTTGCTGCTCTGCACACATGTAAGCGTCGGCCAGAGCCACCCAGGGTCCTCGGTTTCCGGTGGCCCACTGTCACCCCATGCGCCTGACGTCGAGCTCCCCAGTCCCTCTCCCTGCCCCCAGCACCTGCCCAACCTAAGGCTTGGACAGCGGCTCGCTCACTCACTCACTCGAGTGTCTCTGCTGCCTCACTTCTAGGAAGTTCTAGAACTCTCTGCTTTTCCAATCGAAGTTCACGTGATGTAGCTGAATTCCCAACAAGCCGTGAGTAACAGGCCCACTCTCGTCACCTGGAGGAGGAAGCTGTCAAAACGCGTCATCACTAGAGGAGCGAGGACGACTCTTTGGCTTCATGTACGAGGGGTATTTTAGCTGAATGCTCCTGCTCCTTTTGCGTCAGGGCTAAAAGAACAAACACCTCCAACTGGCATATGTGATGGCTGATTGTGTCAGCTTGAGAAGTTTAGAAAGAAGCTCAACTAAACCGATTCCACACCCTTGTGCGGCCCGTGGCCTGGGCGGCACGAAGGGGAAATGAAGGGACAGGACTGCTTCTGCTTCTTCGGAGGAGCTCCAGTCTTCGCCCTCACCTGGGCCAGCGCAGACCCATGGCCCCCGATACGGACTCGCACGGGGCCCTGCAGGGGGCTCCAGGCCTCGGGCCGCACCCTGCGGTCTCCGTGTGTGCACGCCCTCTGCACCTGACCGTGGGAGCCGTCCTAAGTGCATCTGATGCGTCTTCTACCTTGTGCATCTTGTGTCCCTCCCGTTTCTCTAGTGAGCACTGACTGACAGCACAGTGACCCTGCAGCCGCCCCAGGAGGGCCGGCCCTGCTTGTTACACACTGCTATGAGACACCCCTGTGCCGGTGCTGTCAGCTCAGGTGCTGGCGTACATCCCCACAGCACGAACGCCGCTTCCTGCCGCACACACACACTCT